CATACTGCGTGTCCAGTGTTGCCCTATGATCATCTCTGTGCATTGCTGCTCTGAGCACGATGTCATCCTTAGGGCTTGATAAGAATAATGTTCTCTCTCTCTCACTCTCTCTCTTTCCCTCTTAGTTTGCTGTTTGCTTCCTTGTGATCAGGACACACTGGCTACTCCCCCCAGCTTATGTCATCAGTGCTGTCTGTCCTCTGTGGTACATTCTTCTAGGGAAGGGTCAACATAGCTCGGACTGGGGCTAGACTTGCAGTCCTCCCTGTTAGTGCACTGCTCCATGCCAGTATATTGTACTCAGGGCTTGGCACAACAGAATGAGCCCTAATCTCTCTCTCCCTTTCATGTGGAGACATAAACAATATCCTCCCCATGGGTGGATTAGTGCCCTGTTTCCCCTATACCATTATCTTTTTAAATTTTTTCCCTCCATTTTAGTTGGATGCTATATGCATCCCTGGCTTGGGTTTAACCTCTGCCAGAATGCCTGGACCTCGACCCGGAAATTGTGCATTGAGTAACATCCTCTATGCCCATTGTGTTATTTGAGCTTACCTCAGTGGACTCATGTTATACTCATCATTTTGTGCATGGCTAACTTTGCTTAGCCTAATTTTCTCGAACTCTTCCCATAAGACAATATGCTTCATGAGTTCATCACTGCGTTTTAGGGATGCATAGTACTCCATCGTGTGTATATAGCAGAGCTTCTTAATTCATTCATCAATTGATGGAATTTAGGTTGTTTCCAATTCCTTGTGATTGTGAACTGCGTCTTGATAACATTAGAGTGCACATGTCTGGTCGTGGTCTGTTTCTTACTTCTTCCAGGTATATGCATAGTAGGGGAATTGCAGGATCATATGGTAGTTCAATTTCCATTTGTTTTAGGTATTGCCAAATCAATTTCCATAGTGGCTGAACATACCTACAGGACCACCAGCAGTGGATGAGAGTTCCTATCTCACCACACCACCTTCAATATTTGTAGCTTTCTGATTTTTTTGAAATGGACTATCATTGAGGGTGTTAGATGGTATCTCATAGTTGTTTTAATTAGCATTTCTCTTATGGCTAATTACCAGGAATATTTTCTGATATGTCTATTGGCCATTTGGATTTCCACCCTTAGGAAACTTATTTTGGGGTATTTTGCCCACCTCCTCAATGGGCTATTTGTTTTTTCTTCTTATTGTAGGCTAACAGTATTGTGAATTTTAGTAATAAGGCCTTTGTCTGATGTGTCATTACTAAAGATATTTTCTAGTCTGTGGGATCTCTTTTTACTCTCTTGATAAAGTCTTGAAGTTCACAGATGTTAAATCTTTAGTATATCATCCCATTTGTTATTTTGTGTTTTCTCTGTGTATGTGTCCTTCCCAATTTCCTGTAGCCTCTATATTCCCTGGGTCAGTGTTCTTAACTTTGTTCCAATTCCCTCATTGATGGCCCTAATAGTTTGTGGTTTTACCTCAACGTCTGTGATCCACTGTCAATTTAGTCTTGTACAAGGAGGTGGGTCAGAGTCTTGCTTCATTTTTCTGCTGGTAGATATCCATTTTTTACCAGCACCACTTATTGACGAGGGCATCCACTTCCCCTTTGATACTTTGGGGCCATTATTGAAGATCAGCTGTCTGTATGCTGATGGTTGTATTTCTGGATTTTCTGTACTGTACTTTTCCGTTGGTCTTAGTACCTGTCGTTATACAAGTAGCACACTGGTTTGGCCGCTGTGGCTGTAAAGTAGGGGTTAATGCCAGGTAAAGTAAGACCTCTGACTTTGTCCTTCTTCTTGAGGAGTTCTCTGCTAATTCTGGTATTTTCTCCATATGAAGTTGGTAC